TATTCCAAAATCCATAATTTATCTGTTTATATTTGTTGGAATAACTAAAAATGTAAAACATTAAGAATGTAAGAATTTTTAGTGGGTGTACACATTATCTCAGGCTCACGTGTATAGTTGTTAATTTATTAGTGAAGGTACTTACCGAGAGAAGAGGCTCCGAGGTGACAGGTGTGCCGCAGTAACAAGACTTCGTAGATGGTCTGTCTAGTCATTCTTCGCCAATTTCCTAGAAAGCCAGAACAATTTTTTAATCACTCTCTTAAACAGAACTGCGCAGTAAGATGAAAGGGGTCCTCCAGTGCTTGAGAGAGGGATTATCCTTTTGGTGGGCCACCTTTAAAGAGAGAAGGCACGCATTTGGTGGTTGGTGGGGGATAAAACGACGCATCAAGGTTACGAATACAGGGAGCACAACTCTACACCCCAATTTCGTATTCTCCATTTCTCTCATTCCCTATCTTTTACTCCTAGCTCAAGGTCCCCGAGGGTTGACGTTAAATTTTCGAACGACTGACCTGCTTTCTTCCCCCTCCCACCCCATAAGGGATCAAATATCCCCCCTTTTCCCTCAGTTGGTCTCACAAACACGGGATCTCTATATTTACGCTATTCCGGTAAACATCCTCAACCGAAATGTCCAAAGATCCTTTTATGCAATTTACAATGGTCAACGGAGTGGACGTGATGTTTATACAAGTTTTCCCTTTGTCCAGTCCCGTTAGACTACTGTATCTTTTCATCAAGTCCTCCTCGAGGGGAAATATTTGAATTGTCTCAGAATTGTCCCATGGGCCAATTATTTATGGATATTTCCACGATTTATGATCAGTATGCATTAGGGGGATTCGAATAGTGATGAAATCGAATCGAATTGAATAGGAAAATTCAATTCAAATTCGATAAGCGAGTCTTTCGAATAGTCAGGGGTCAGATAAATCAGAATTTTTCAATTATTCATTGTTTTGAATTCAATTTTAAACCACTCGAATAATTAAAAATTATTTGAGCCAAGACACTGTACACAAGTAGATTTAAGGACTAGGTATCATTTCCATAAATATTTCTGAATAGAAAGAAGATGTAAAATTTTTTAGCGACCTTTGTTTTACCTCACATTCGGCTAAAAAAAGCATGCAAAATTGTGTTATCGCTTTTAAATAAATTGTATACAGTAATAAATTTTATTTAGTGAAGAAAAACTAATCCATTCATGCATTAATGTTCTCCATTCAATCAAATTTCATGATCCATCTTTTTGCAACTGGATGAAAAAGTCGAATAGCCCCCGGAGAACAGATCCAAAAATAATATTCCCATCATAATTCACTCACAACATCCATTCGTATTTGATTCGTGATCCCCAAACCCCTCCCCATTCTGATCATCGTGTTGGGTTTCGCCTTTCAAAGACTTTACGATTGGCAATAAAATTATGCAATGTGTAATCCGAGGCGTATCTCGTTTCCAAGTTGGTGTTCCAAGAACGGCATTACATACTGAGACTCCAAACGCACATGCGGGATTGTACACCGCACCTTATAATATTTGGAGAAAAGAAATTGCATCGTCGTGTGTTGCACCGATGATTTATTTGATGTTACACCTATATGAAGTGAGGGCTCAAACATCTATATAATTTTCGTTATGACATTTGTGAGAATACCACAAGAATAAACAAAAATTGTCCATTTTCCCTGAATTTCCCTCATTTTCCTTAATTTTTATGGCATACTATTAATGGATAATGCAATTAAAATTGTTTAACGTTGGAGATGAAACCACAGTTCCCATGGAATGTCTCTCATTTGGGGCAATGGGGGCGAGAATGAGGGGTAAATTGGGCCACCATGAAATCCAATATTTCATGAGTCACTCGATGATTCAATCCCCATGTCCCCTCTCTATTAGTTTGTTTTGGTATTGTGGGAATTTCTGTCAACGGTAAATCCTCAATTCATCGAGATAAACCAGTCAATACTCACTTGTTGAGTTCGTCAACTGATAAGTCCCTCAACACTTTGTTTGAAAAAAAAATAATCAATTAATGGAGAATAAAAGAATTCAGCGTAGTTGAGGACTTAATTAATTATCATTCTAAAAAGGAACATTGTTAATAAAATACCCTCATTAGTGTTGACTCGATTGGAGATAAGCCAATAGCCATACGTAGAGATAACAGATATTGACGTAACGAGTTTTTTTTAGTGAGATAAATTGTGAGTGATTGTAGGTATTATTTCTGCCAATGATTTTTACGTTTTTCCTTTTTCGCTTCTCGATACTGAGTGTCATTACTTCGAGTTGAGATAAGCTTGAATTAACTGATAAACCTCATAACATAGGTCATAGGCACCCACAGGCATTAACACAAGAAATCAAATAAAAATAAATTTTAAACAATTCTAAAAATAACCAAAAAGGTCATAATAAAAATGTTGCTATCTAACTTGAACTCGGGGATATCCTCTAAAAACATGAATATCAGTTGAATCGACTTGTTTCCCTTTTACCTCTTCACGACATATTTCCTCTCCTCTCGTTCTTCACTTGGACTTTTTACACGCGCATGAAAGTTCATATTTTTTCTGGCCAGACTCATGATTCAAATAAATGCGAGGGGATGTGTAAGAAGAGAGAGAATTTACGTGTTTGTCGTGGTTGATGATACGGTTGTCGTGGTCTGAAATAAATAAATAACATTTCGAAGTGAGAGGAGTAAAAAAAATTACACAGAATGTAGGAGAAAAAGAAAAAGAGAATGATAAAAAATATCGGCCGATATTCGTGGCACGATTGAATCGGACAATTTAGAGAAAGAAAAAAGGCAACTCTTCCCCTCGGTTCGTCCACACTCGACCTTGGTCTAAATTTAAAGAGGGGAATCGTTCTACTCGCGATTTAAGCGACACGTCCGACAGTTAACACTGGTAAATATACAGAGAAAGTGACACTATATCGACTATTCGTTCCATAATACCTTCAAAAAAAACATTTTTAGATGCTCAAGTTCTTCAGAGCTTCTGTTTTAGATAATGCCTCAATTTTTTCATAATTTTGCCACGTAATTTGGAATTATTCTTATTTATCGGAGCTATCATCAAGACTAGAACAGACAAAAGCCCTTTGGCATTCAAATTCAATGAATGGAGTTCTAAAGACCTGTCCCGCTAATTTCAGAAGAACTTTTTGTACAGTACTGTCAGAAATTCTCAATAAATGTAAAAATATAAGTCGAATGTGTGTTAAGAATTTCCCCTCTTCATTTCTTACCAGGGAAGTATTGATCAGCCTACAAAAACGTAATATTTAAAAAAAAATGGAATAAAATCGATTGAATTACCAAGTGATTTACAGCGAGCAAAAACTGCACCCCGAAAATTCAACTGCCGGAGATAAAAACCTTTTCCATCACGAAATATGCCCGTAAACAACTCAACAGTCTCGACACAACCCTAAAAAGCATCAATGCATGTGCAAGACAACAGCTAACTCTAAATAACTTCTAAGTACCCCATTAATTACCTCAAAGTCGAGAAACCCTGACAAATGCTCCGGAACCAAAATTTGTGACCCCTTATAAAAAAAAAAGCGGAAAACAAAACCCTTTTTCCATCTCTAAATATTCCCATAAACCCTTCAGCAACTTTCAAAAATCCCTAAAAGCCATCAATACATGATCAAGGCAACAGTTATCCCAAAATAACTTGTAAATACCCCATCAATTACCAAGAGATTCGAAAAACCCTTACAAATGTTCCAATAATAGATCTCATAACCCTCAAAAATACCCCACAACTCACTGGATAAATGTCGATGTCCATGATTGACAAACGTTATCGTAGAAATAACACTTCTCCGAAATTATGACCCCATAATTAACCATTTCACCCAAAAATCATTGATAAGCTCTATTAACAATTCATTTCATCACGTGCCACACCTGATATAGGTAATTTCCCTTCCGACTCTAGAAATTCCCGTCCAAACACGTTTTGTTTTGAATTTGCCGTACATGTAACCCAACACAGAGCCCAAATCGACGTATTCGTAGTGCCAGAGGGGAAAAACACAAACAAAGAACGGAGATCCATCCGTCGCCCGCCAAAACGCCGGTTTTATTAACTCGCAGATGGTGCGACTGAAAAAGAAAGGCAAAGATGTTTATAGACTTATTTGTGCCTTTCGTTGTTTTGATAAGGTGAAGCGTTCGCTAGAATTTTCATACCCTGGGAGAAGTAAATGTCACAAGCGTATCATCAGCCTGAAAAATACAATGCAAAATACAAAAATAACGAGGCGGGTATGAGATCGTGTGAAGATTTCCATCGTACTTATATATTCCACGAAAATCCATAAATATCGTTCGTTGAGTGAAATGACACATTCCGACTCGTCAAAATTCACACAATCAGTACGAAATATTTATCGAGTGTTCTGTAATTTTTGTGAAATTTACGTGAAAATTATTGAAATAAATACATAATTTATCCACTATTTTGTGACCATTCTCTCCTCTCACCCTCCTAAAATTAGCATCTGGTAAAAAGGAGACACTGAAATAATTTTCGAAAAAATGACTTGTAAAAAAAATGCAATCATAATTTGTGATTACAAATTGAAATTTTTGGCAGAGATGGTACCGATTTTCTCTCGTTCTCCCCAAAATTATTACAGCACCATTTTCATCATTGCCCCACCCTCCTCAACATTGATTCCATCCTCCATTGTTGTCATTCTCCGCAAAACGTAAACAGTCGTGGTGCTCACGTACAGAATACAGATCGTTGCAATTGTCAAATATCCCACGAAGCCCACGAAGGTTCAGTGAAAATAAAAAAAAAAAAATCCCCCAACTAGAGGAGACAACTGGGCTCCGAGGGAGGGGGCAAAACACCCGACAACGGCGTGCATCGATTGGAGCGCTAGCCGTGACCCCCACCATAGAGCTTTCGCTTTCACCCAATGGGATCTCACTTTCGCGCTCGCCGGTGGACGGGTCTCGCTGGCACACCGCATGCCGCACGTATTGTCGTCACTTCAGTGTTACTAGTGCCAGAGTGAGCTCTGTATCCCCGACAAGCTGTTATTTTTTACCCCTAATGTGTAGCACCCTCGCTGTAAACAATCGTGAAAAAAAAAACACTTCCCGCACTTTCGTTGGTAAATAGTTTGGTTACGGATTCATCTGGACATTGTGCATTTTCGGGAATTAGAGTAAGTTATATCAATTGTGTCGGGTGGTTTGGTGGTAATAGACGGTGAGAGACAGGAGCTGGAGTGATAAAAGTTTTATCCGCCGCAGAAACCGCGCGCTGCGGCGGTGACCCTGACATTCGTGCGTCGTGCCTCAACGAAGATCGACGCGCGCCGCCACTCCAGTGCCTGCTCTATGCCGGTAATCATCGGGGACGCTGTCCAGTGTGTTGGTGCGGTTATATCAGTCATAAATACCTCCATTAATCGAGTTTATTTGGCTCCAGAGATACAACGAAGAAACGTTAAACTCAGAGCGTAAATGGTAACCTCAAACAAAATACCTTGTACGGGTGAGAAACAGTGAAAAACGAGTGCCTGAACTCTGAAGTATTGCCTCTTTTTGACGAATTTCAATAAATATCTAAATTTCCAAATTGCCAAATTTTCAAATTTTCAACAAACACTGTTCCCCTCTGACGTTTTATTATCACCCAGTGGTGAGTGTCCGTTGAATGGGAGAGAAACGTGGAGTGATAGTGAGAGAGAGACAGGTCCTCCAGTATCTGCGAGGTCTGACAGTGCTAACAATCGATCGAGCCCTTGATATTGCTAACGTGATAGTTGGATCGTGGTGATAAGTGTCGAGTGGTCATGGCACCAAGGCGCCACGCGGGTAACGGTCACATCGGTGGGCTTTTGGAGGTGGCAGGCAATCACGAGACGATGGATAATTTTGCCAATGGTCCGAGTATCATGGGTATAACTCACTGCTGCACACCGACTGGTGAGTGTCTGAGAAATGACAATCCAATTCGTATGAATGTTCTTCAGGATGTGGTTAAAGTGACTTGCAACAATGATAGTTGTCCGATGGGTCAGTACATGCATCGTGAGTGCTTTGATGCTTGGGAACAGACAGTTCTCACGTACTTGAAGAACTGTGGAAGGGCTAGGAGTTGGTCTGAGCGTCAGCGTCATCAGAATCTGTGGACGAAAAAGGGTTATGATCTGGCTTTCAAGGCTTGTGGCTGTCGTTGTGGTCGAGGACATCTCAAGAAAGATCTCGATTGGATGCCACCGGGAATCAATGCCACTGGGTGCAGGAGTGATGAGGCTGAGGCTAAGAAGAAGAAAAGACGCAACCGTCAGAATACCAGACCGAGTCTTGCTGTTTCCGCTGGACCACCTCACGGCAATCATGCCAATCGGGCCAGTGAAGCACAATTGATCGAGTCCAGGGGAAGGGCTGGATCATTGTCTTCCAGCAATGGATCGTGCTCACCACCAGCTACCAGTGAGACCAGTGTCAGTCCACTTCATCAGCCACAGATGCTCGTCAAGAAGAAAAGCAGAGTCGAATTTTTCGGGGATCATAGGCTTCGGTAAGTCCTTTTTATTCATTTTCTATTTGTCTCTGTATGTGCAAGGAGAAATAATTAGGCATGAAATTTGACGAAAATTCGATAATAGAAAATTTGCGGGTCGTTCGTAAATCCATCAAAAAAACTATACCACATTGTTCAAACCAAAAATCCCATTGCTGATTAGATTTCTTGGTTGTCTTAATCCAACAGAAATTCAGTTTCCATTTATTTTCTCAATCAGTTTATTTATATTGCAATACAGATTATAATTATTACGTAGCAATAATGAAATCTTTAAAGATTGTGATTGAGTGTGGACTGAATCTCTGAAATGAGACACCCGTACTGGTCCGTCCGAATGAATTTTGAGGTGGTTGGATGCACAAGAGTTCCTCGGAGTTATCTTTGTCGCCGAGTGGAACCGGTCCAGACCCGGTTCCTTGTTGGTCGTGCGGAAGAGGGCGGTGTATCGTCTCTGTCATATCCATTAAAAACTAGACACCGGTATACCGAGTCCTACCCACACGACGATTTTTTAACCCAACTCTGTCCCTGAGTATAATTCTTTCAGAAGAAAGTCTCGTAGTTCGACAGTAGTACAACTCCTGAGACTGAATGAACGTTTCTTTTCTATTTTTTTTTTATGTTCATTTTTTTCTTCCCTCCCTGTTCCTTATGCCGCGTAGGTCGTGCTACGGTGTGGTAGGTTGTGTGTGTCGACAACATGAGAACACTTACAATCTCCATCAGTAGTTTTGTTTCCACGATGCTTTATTTTTCTCTCGCTCTAATACTCACGCACGTTTGTAGCTACTTCCTTCGACCAAGTCGTTCGATTAATTCTATATTTAGATACTTTACTTGGAAACCCGTCCTATTTCAGTGGCCTAATGGTATCGTTCACTCGGCAATAAATGTTATCGAGGGAGAAATGAGAAATAAGTGCAGAGGGTAGAGGCCCATTCACCACGGTTAGACTGTAATTAAGTTGAACGGAGAGCTAATATGTTTATCATATTCAGGTATTGATCAACGGTTTTGTTGATATTGATTGCAATTTATGGGGATTTTATCGTTGCGTACAGTGGCTTCCCTTGGATATTTAATGTCAGGTTATTTCATGTTGTAGCTCATGTCATAATCACTTTTTCACGTTTAATTGTGGATATACAAACTAGACGGTATTTTTCAGGGCAAATTTACGCCTGCGTATATTAACAAAGAAGTAATAAAAAATCACGAACACTTCATTACCAATTTGTGGAGCAGGTGAAAAAAAATAATGAAATCGCAGGTTTTCCTGGAAAATTACTAACATTACAGAATTTCAAATAGCATGATGGCGAGAATTTCACAATTTATTTGAATTTCTAATTTAATGTGAGTATTCACTGTCGTGGAAATTTACAAGCAAAAATATTTAACAGTGTAACTTAGCCATCTTTTATTGGAGGAAATGTTAACGAGGGGCGTACGTTTAGATGGTGATAATGGGGATAATAAAGTGGGACTGATGAGATAAGAATAGGGACTTGTTTGGGATGCATAAGGGAAGGGAAGGGAAGGGCTGATTGCGTTGTAACCTTGACCGTGGGCCACCTTTTCAGGGCCATCAGTTACTGAGGCGGTCTCTGGGACTTCTCTTTCATTGGAGGTGGGGTTTAGAGACTCTCAAGGCCAACCGCATCCAAGCTGCACGGGCCCAAGGTGCATTTAAAGCGCCCCCATGGGTAAAAACAAAATAGAATGCCAGTGGGTTGAAATTCTTTGGGGAATTTTCATTCCGGCCATTACGCCGGGGAGGAGTTAGCTGGAGTTTTTTACCTCGTGTAATAGTTTTTCGTCATTATAACAATCATTTTAATTTGTATATTTTTCCGTAATTATTACTCGTGGAAGATTTTTGTTATTTCGCTTTTTTTGCATTTCGTTCAGGCTCTCCATTGTGGGAAAATTGTTGAACATATTAGGCTGAATGTTTTCGGATTTTTTCATTACAAGTTTTTTGGATGTCGCTTGATCTTGAAGGCTGTTTATTTTAAGAAAAAATACCAACGTATGCTTTCAGAAATTTCCGCAAATTTTCCCCTCTTATATTGAAGTAATTTACTTATCATCGACGGAGTACAATCACTTCCGAATGTTTCCCAAAAACTGCGATTTAAAGGGCAACAGGTTACGGGTACCAGCTGAAACGGGTAATCGAGAATGTTTTTTCTCATCTAATGACTAGCAATTAAATTTATGCACCTGGGAAGAATGCTCGGGTTGGGTCCCTGCTCTCCCTTCATAATTCGCGTGGTGTACTCCTTGCTTCTACATTTTGTCGGAAGAAACTCTCGAAACGATAATTCCCGATGTTTTTAGCCCACTGGAGATTCTTGTAATTGCGGGCTCACATTTGGGAGAATAAACAGGACCACTTTTGCCCTGGCAATAAATTCTCTGGACTCTCTTTTGTCTTTTTCGCGCTTCTGCCTCCCATTGGGATATTTTTTTTCATTTCATTCTTTTTTCGACTGTCCCGGATGTACACTCAGGGGAGGGGGGAGAAAAATTTTCTTCGGTTGCGTTTTCGTCTTCAGAGTACTATACCACCGTGGATAATCGATTTGCACCGTTGGGTGGGGGAGGGACCGAAATTGCGAATAAGCTGGTGGAATCAAGAGATTCATAACCCCTGGGAAATCGTTGAGATCGAAATAATGATAAACGATGTGCCCGTAAAAAATGCAATGAGAAAATAAATGATTTCAAACCTCCCAGTGAAATCATCTGGACACTATTCCCCAGGTTTTTTTTTTCGAGTTTGAGAAAAATTTATCAAAATATTGACACACTCATTCATCATCCAAAGATAATACCTGAAAAAAAATGTTTTTCTATGAAAAATTTCAGTTATCGCATTTGGATTGTTTGTTTTACTTTCATAATCGTATTTGCGTTCTTTCTCTCACTCTTGCAATTTTTTTTTTTTTCACATGTTCGTTTCGCGGAGTTTGTCGTGAATGGTCGGGAATTCGGTCCACATATGCATCAATTTGATCGCTTAAGGTTGTGACGCGTCTTATCTCATTCTCCTCTACATCAGGGAAATTCAAGATGACGAATGTAAAGAGTCGCTAAAAAGGTATGGGATGTTCATTCGTCGGCAAGGCACGTTAGGAGATCGCAAATATAATTTTTTTTTACATACTTTAATAAAAATAATTCAATTATTTAACAAAAATAATGTAAAATATGAGAAAACTCTTATTTAATCCAAGAAAAGAGTTTATCTCGTCTTAACAAATTTTTAAGTTGAATGAAATAACTCATTATTCAGGGGGTAGGGTTGGTTAATATCATCAACAAAAAATCCCATCAGGTCTGGTATTTTAAAGTGTCAGTTACAAATTGTTATAGCTATCTTAAAAAATTATTTGCGCTGGCTTAAATTTGCTATTTTTTCCAACGTCTGGGAATGCAAGAACATCTTGAGGATAAAGTATTATGGGGTTATAATGGGGCACTTGTCCCTACGCCTTTCTTCACCGCTGAGTGAAATGAGAGTTATCTCAGTGGTCAAGGTCACCGTTGCCGAGCTGAATATACGCCACTGGCTGAGTAAATATTTTTCCACCGATCCCGATCATCTCTTCTTTTTTTTTACCGTTTCTTTTTTCATTCCCCTCTCGCTCCTACCTGCAAGCTATTTTTGCCCATTATCCACGCTGTTTTTTTTCATATCGTATTTTTTCTTTCTCTCTGAAAATGTGTGCACTCATGACAGGAGAATAGAAGGGGGTTAGGCACATGGGAGAGGCAAGTTGATATAGAATTTTGTTTACACAGTATCGTATGTTGGGCGAAATACCTCGTGCACGATAAAAAAAAATATGAGCATGAATTTATCTCGCAAATTGTTTTTTCCCTTCTTTTTTGCTTGGAAGGTGTTCTTGGCACGCGAGTCCATCACTTGATTGTGAAATGATAGTGGTAGCAGTTGATAAGAGAATTCTGTGAGAGGTTCATGGAATTGAAAAAAAAGACGATTTTTTTTCTTTAATTTCAATGTGAAGGATTCAGGCAGAAAAGATTTTCGGGGGTATATGGCGATAGATATATGTAAATATTGTTGTGTAGACTGAATTTTATGCGGTTGATTTGGAATTAATTTTCCAGGTTTTGGCATTGAAAATTCAATGAAAAAAATTGTCCTCTAAACAAATTATCACGGAAAAATTATCATTTTTTATAGCAGTATGTGATAAGGATAAGTTCACGTTGTGACCCTGAACTCCGACCCTTCAGTTGTTCACGAGCTCAAGGATATCTTAAAGACGACGGGGCGACATTTCAGTCCCTCTTCCCATCACTTCATCTCGTCCTGAGGCTCTTCTACGGAGAAAAAAAATACATATCCCTGGTGCTTAATTAAACTTTTTGTCATTTTTTTCATTTGACTCGTCTGACAAGACAAAATTCTACAAATGAGGGGGGTGAAAAAAATATGGAGAATTGACACCCAAAAAATAGTCATTTAATTAAACTTTTGTTATCATCACTTCAGTACCCAGTCCCTCGTTTTTATCCTCTCGGGGCGGCAAAAATTCGTCTCTCATATCTAAATTCAGGAGAGGTGGGCTCTTTATCGCCAATAAAGAGACAAAATTTATTGGACTGTTGATTATAAAATTCATGCAAATTCTACCGGCTAGACCTAGGGAATACTAAAGAACGGGAACAAAGAAGCCAATAGTGGATGATAAATTAAATTATCTTGAGCGAGAGAAAATCCGAATAATTAGTCGCACTCGTTGGAAAACAATTGACAACTTTGAGGAAGAAAATTCGGCAAGAATAATTTGATAATTCAGCGATAAAAATTCACCTTCCGTGGGTGTAATTCAAGGTAAAGAAACAAAAAATCATCATCGTGGTAAAAAAGTGGAAGGCAAACGCGTTGATTACAAAATTTATGCAAATTCCTCGTGTAGCTCATACAAAGTGTAAGCAGATACAAAAGAATCGTCTGA